AAATGGCCACGGACCACATGTCGGGCGGAAAAATGGCCGCGGACCATGTGTCGGGAGGGAAAATGGCCGCAGACCGTGTCATGGGAGGGAAAATGGCCGTGTATCCTGCTCATACCCCGAGGTGGAGTTCGCAAACTGAGGTAAATTTTTGTGGCTGGAGCTGGTCGTAACCCGAAAAGTTCGTTAATGAGGCGTTCATAACCCGAGGTACCACTGTATATTTAAGACAGTATTTTTAAACCAGTTAAATGAAGAATTAAATTAAATTAAATTAAATTAAATCGTCCCCTGCTTTTAGAACTTGTTGGCCTGTCTGACCTGTGTTTTCAACCATCTCCTCCTGTTTTTCTGACTCTTTTGCATTGGAATGGGGCTACATTTCCTCTCTCTGCTTTCCCCCCGGCAGGTTGCTATCTCATTAGCTCTTTCCTCTGATTTTATGGCTTCCCCTGTGGAGAAGGAAGAGGACTCATATTGTCTGTGTGCAAATGAAAGGAAAACAGTATCCTGGACTGTAATCCCTAGATCTCTGGGTAAGCAGCAAAACTAGCATCTTAGAGTCAATTGGGGGATGCTCTTAGGGTGGAACTCCACTTAGCTTAACACTTCCAACTTGTTCTAGTTTCATGCTTCTCTGAATGTATGTGGACAAAAGTGTGTGGGATTGGGGCTACATCTGCTCGTATTAGCCTTTGTGTCCTATTGCGTCTCTAGACTTTCATTTGGGCACGGAGCAATACTCAACCTTATTTGAAACATGGATATGGTTCTCCAGGCAATCAGAGATCCTGCTGTGATGGGTGTAAAAGAAATCCATACAAATTTTTTCTGGGAATGGGAGTATGACTTTTATCCCCGAGGAATTTGTAGAAGAATGAACATTGGCCATATGTGAAGTCTGGCTAATGCTAATATTCCCTCCCCAATCCATCTGCAGAGGGACTGGGAGATTTATTTTAAGATAACTAAGGAATTTCACAAGAAATCCTGTTCTTTTTGCTCTGGAATGTCCTAGAATGCAGATCCTTGGCCATTCAAAGAAGCCTTCCTGGAGCTAAAAAAAAGCCTTCTCTTTTAGTGACATCAAAATTGTCTTTATCCCCGTGGTCTTAAATAATTGGAAAAGTGCCTTTAAAAAGAAGAACAAGGCAGGTCCTGCACTCATGTGGTGCTGGCTACCAGCTTGGTGGGCTTCAAAAAAAATTAGTGGTTGGACTAATTCATGAAAGTCATGGGGATCAATGGCTGGCTCTGAAGGCCATCTGCTGGAAGGCCAGTGGGCTTCCTTCTGCACTTGGACCACTGGGAGAATAGACCATTAGACTAGATGGGCAAGGGGTCCAATCCAGCAGGACACTGCTTGGATTCCTACCATAACATTTCAGATTCTTTCAACAGATAGCATGTTGATAGATAGCAAGTTGCAGCACGGTAGAGTGCTCCCACTCAGTACGTTCTCCTATATCCATGAGAAATGGAGTTAAAACATCCAATGGATGGCTATTAGCCCTGATGGCAGTGTGACTTCTCTGAAGGCCATCTGCTGGAAGACCAGTGGGCTTCCTTGGGCAGTTGATAGGCCGCTGTGAGAACAGATTGCTGGACTAGATGGGTCTGATCCAGCAGGGCATTGCTTAAGTTCTTATGGTATTATAAAGCCACCAGAGGCCCCCACCAAAGGAAGCGTACGGGAATGATAGATTGGACCCTCACTCTTCTCCTGAGGATAAAACAGAGTAAGGACCTCCTTGCTGCACTCAGAGGAAGACAACATATAACACGGATGGCTGTTTCTGTCCTAGGGGAAGTGAACTTCACAGCAAGTGCAGAGGCCCTCCGTTCAGATCAGCTCTGTGGGAATGAAATTGTGGAGACCCCCAGCAGAGGGCAAAAGGACATCCTGACCAAATCACTTTTAGTTGTGGTAAGTGGGTGGCTGCTGAAGCGTTGCAAATTTGCATCGGTGCCCTTTCCCTCTTCCTCTTCTCTCTGTCTTTTCTGTTTTCTCTGGTAAGTGGGGCAAGGAGCTGTCCATGGCACACTGAAGCCCATGGGCCCAACGTTGCCCACCTCCAGGTCAAGAAACCATCCATTCATTCCAAAAAGCAGTTGTCCCTCTGCTTTTCCTGTCCCATCTTCAGTTTGCCATTTCTTCCCCAGAAGTCCGCGACCACCCCACAGTACCCGCGCACTCCCACCCATGCTCCTTGCCTAGTACTCCCATCTCTTCCTGCTTAACAACCCACCCAGTCCTGAGGTTACCTGAATTGCCCTCACTAAGAGATGCAGTCACATGATGTTGTGCTTTATGACCATCTCGCTTAGCGACAGAAACTCCGGTCCCAATTAACGTCATAACCTGAGGACTACCTGTATTGTATTTTATATGGTGTATGTGACGACTTGTGGTTAAAACAATAAACTTTCTTACTGCTTTTTTTTTTTATTGTATACCAATTTCATTTCTTTCCTTCCCTTTCTCTACATCAGTGTTTCTCACCCTCGGCAACTTGAAGAGGTGTGGACTTCAACTCCCAGAATTCCCCAGCCAGCTACTGTATGCTGGCTAG